CGAAGGAAGGCTCGTAGAAAAAAATAATGATAATCATAGACCTTCATAATTTTTTTTTCTTTTTTAATTGATTTTGCTGTTTTAATTGCATCAATGATTAATCCCACGTTTGTTAGATTGAATTAAAATTTCCTTTTACTCCAATAATTTTGCCCAACTTGTGAGGAGAATCAAACATGTCTTATCTACCGAGATACTGAAAGATAAATGAATTCGTCGAAGCGAAATATTGAAAGATAATTCATGTGGTCCTCTCTAATCAGTCTTGATTATTATTCATTGCAATAATTATCACATGTATGAATAATTTGTTTCCAACGAATCTATTAATATATTGTATTTAATACATAATTTTAAAAAGGAATCAACAGCTAAAAAAGAATCAGATGGTTCAAGTCATATTTTTCTTTTCTTTTATTTATAATCTTTTTATTATCAATTCGATCTTTTATCTCTTAAATCCTCATTTTTTCCGTTGATATTCTGTCTCGGTTTTCATCACAATGCTTGGCACTAGCCTCACGGTAAAAAACTCCAAAATCCAATCTTTATTGTTCATACTATTATCAGCAGGTGAATTTTATAATTCATCACTTTCCTGGAATATATATAGTTTGAATGTCAACTAGTTCTGTAAACACAATTATTCTTTGTTTGAATCCCTTTTTTTTCAAAAATTATTAAAAAGTCGAGGAGCGTCCAAGAATTAATCAAGATTCAAACAAACACAACAAATAGTGAAATAAAGTGCAGAAAATTGTAAATGAACACAAGATTTTTTCGGCTGAAACCCCAGAGGTTCTGCAACCACTTCTAACACCTATTCCCCTGTTGAACATCCATTAAAATGGATAAAACTCGGTTGCACTATAAAGCCTCAAAAATCAGGCAACAAAATACAACAGTGTTCCAAAAATTTACAAAGAACCAAATATAGGACTTATTTTTTCTAGAACTACACAAGGCAACAATTATTCCACATAGGAACTAACTGAGATCACAAAGGTCTCACAAATGTCGAACTTCCCACAATGAAGAGGCTTATTTCAAGAGAAATCACAAGGCAAGTCAATATTCCACAAAGGAATCAACACCGATCACATAGATCTACCAAAACACAGATACTGCCAACAATGAATCATTAAGATTCATATACAAATCACACAGCAAATCAGGTTCCACTAAGAAACTGAACCAGACCACTGAGATCTTCAGAAAACCCGAGCTGCTCACTTCGAACCACATAGGTTCATACAAACCAAAAAAGGAACAGCACCACTACCATATGTATCTATAGTATTACAAGGGCTTTTACAGATTTTATTTGCTGACAAACTCGAGAAATCATGCCCCAATCACCAAGTAAAAATACGACTCTTCACCAAGAAATAGAGCCCAAGAAGCCGACTCAAAAATGGAGTTCCCACACAGTTAAGAAAATCGAACAGCAATCTGTTCCAAAGCCAAGAATATTTCTCCCCAAAATCTTCAAAAATAAAAGACCCAAATTCACCAAGAAGAAGGGCTTCTCGTAGGGAAGAAAGAGAGAGCAAGATCGAACTTCAAATGAAAAATTAATCTCTCAAAATGATGCTGCCGTCCAAAAAGAATTGCACCTGATTTTTTATATTGCAAGTCACTATAATTTGATCTAATGGATATAATGATGCCAGGTGTCGAAATCTGGATGAAAGCTTCACTAAAGAAGTTGTTACTTGTAAAACATGACTCTTAATTTTTTGGAAGCACAAGATTTAACTGAAACGGGTTTAATTCTCAACAATCTCCACCTTACTTCCAAAATTTAAGGCTATAGTGCACCCATAAGCTTCACCAACATTTATAATGTCATTTGCTCCAAGTACCTGTACAATCAATGAAAATAATCAATAGATAACATCTTTAAACAGTTTTGAAACTTATTTAAAGGTATCACCTTAGTTCCCATATCTGATGGATTATACAAAGCATGTATTTTATTTATTTTCAGCAATCCTTTTGATATAATATCCCCTATAAAGTGATATTTTACATCAACATGCTTCGTTCTATCATGGAACATGAGATTCTTACTCGAATGGATTGTACTTTGATTGTCAGAATATAGTATTGGATTAGTGTCTACAAAACTAAGTTCATTCAACAAATCATGCAGCCATATGCCTTCTTTAATGGCATCAGTGGCAGCAATATATTCAACCTCCGTGGAAGATAGAGCAACAATTTTTTGTAACTGAGATTTTCAACTTATCACAACATCACACAAAGTGTAAAAATGAAATGAAGTTGATTTTCTATTGTCTCTATTTCCAGCAAAATCAAAATCTGTATAACATTTTAAAATTACCCCCTCTTTGTCCATTTTAAATATCAAACCCAAGTTAGATGAACCCTTTAACTATCTTAATAACTACTTCAATACTTCCCAATGAATTTCACCAGGATTTTCCATAAATCTACTTAAAACACTAATACTAAAAGCCAAATCAAGTCTAAGTCCGGTACAAATCATTAAGTACATGACTGAACCAATAGCATTAGCATAAGGAATTTTAGACATCCTTTCAAGTTCATCTTCAGTTTTAGGACACGAATCAGATGTTAATATAAAGTGATTAGCAAGGGGTAAAGTCACAGGTTTACAATCAAACATATTAAACCTCTTTAGGATCTTATTCACATAATCTTGTTGACATAAGAATAAGCAATCAGATTTCTCATCTCTAATAATTTGCATGCCAAGTATTTTCTTAGCGAGACCAAGATCCTTCATTTCAAATTCTAATTTTAATTTGTGTTTGATATCATCAATTTCAGATTTATTAGCACTAGCAAGAAGGATATCATCAACATAAAGCACAAGATACAATGAATCTTTACCTCCACTTCCTTTACAATAAAGACATGTATCACTTCTACTAAACCCAAGTTTCCAGACAAATGAATCAAATCTTTTATACCATTGTCTTGGAGCTTGTTTTAGGCCATATAATGATTTTTTCAACAAACACACAGTTTTTTCAGGATTTCCTTTAATAAATCCTAGAGGTTGTCTCATATAGATCACTTCATCCAATTCACCATACAAGAATGCAGTTTTTCGCAGGGTCATTTATGCGTTTGTTGCATATGTGTTGGTCGTCTGTTGATTAACTTGGTGTTAATCTGTTGTTCTATGTGAACGTGATTTGAAAATATTTGTGGAAATATTTTATCATCATCGCATATATATTTGCTCTTGAGTCGATTACTGTGAATATCTGTTTCTACTTAGGTGTTCTTGACTTTAGCCCTGGTGAGTACATGTAGCATGTATGATATGTGTTTCAGGTTGAAAACACGAGGTAAGGTCTGTGATACCAATTTTATTGGAGTACCTTGATTATTTAAGTATTAACTTTGTGTTTTGATTACTTGCAAATTGATGGGTATCAAAGAGGAGATTTGTTGAGTTTTGATATCCAATAAATTCAGACGATTATTTAAAACAGTTGACGAAAAATTTATCCACACCATAGGCTTGACTCGACTTGAAAACGACCTATACTTTTGGATGGCCCAAGTTTAGGTTGGATGGCTTTTGGCTAGCTGGACCATTTAGTGGTAAGTATGGACTTGGATATTAGCCCATTAATTTATGTTAAGTGGCAACCCATTTGCATAAATCTTGGCCCAGTTGAGTGACCTAAGTTGTTTGGCTTTATATTTATTTCTCTTCTCCAACAGTCGGTTTTGCGGCGTGTGTGTGTAATGCAAGAGAGAAAATGAGAGAGAGAGAGAGAGAGAGAGAGAGAGAGAGAGAGAGGTTGGCTTCCTTGGGATTTGAGAGCTTGTTGTTTTTGACATCTTCCTTGATTTTCTGGTTCCTTTATGGATTGTATGTACCACCACTATAGTCTCCTTTGTGGAGTGAAATTTGTGGCAACAAAGTGTGAAAATTTTGGGTTGAGCCGAGGTTGGGTTGTGTTCGTTTGGTTATTTTTTGAATCCAGATTCAAGATTTCTTAATGAAGATAAGAATAAAAAAAATCGGGAAATCATTGACAATTAAGATTAGCTTGATCAAGAGAACAACAAAGCAAATGTTGGGTGTACATTAAATTACTCGACAAGAGTTGCAAATATAATGAACAAGAGTTTTACCATATTTTCTTTCATTAATGCTATCCATCCTACTAACAGAATACACCAAAAATGATTAAAACTAATCCAAGAAATAGCAGCATAAAAGTATCTTAAATACGGTACTAAGAACATGGTCACATTCTGTTTGATGTATACTTTTGGCTAATAGATTTGTAAAAGTGATATTTGGAGAACGTGAGGTTAGAGTTAGGGACAATTATTTTATTGGGAGAATGTATAGTTAAAAATGAGTTTGAGGAAAAATGAGGTTTAATAAATGTATAGTTGAAAATGAGTTTGAGGAAAAATGAGTATTAATAAATCTTTACCAATTAGCTCTTTAATTAACCATCAAAACATAAAAGTTGTTAATTTTTTGAGAACTGTAAACGAGCTAAACAATGATTTTAAGAAGTAGATCTGATATCGTAAAAGCATCATTGTCAATCACAACATCTAGCATGAGATAGTCCCAAGTCGCATGGAAAAAGCAATATCTGAGGAACATCTTATTAACCCCCAACTAGCTCAATATCTTAGCTAATAAACATAATAAAATCGTGGACCGTCCCTCTTGTGAGCGGGAATGAAGTAAAACCCATAAAATTTTAAGTTGAAATTAATAATTAATTTAATTATATTTCATGTAGCTCACAATTTTTATTGATTTTTATCAACTATCGACCAATACATTTTGGGTTACGCCCGAAATTTAAAATCGACTGAAAGAAGTCAAAACTCTTTACCACCTCCATTTAATGCTATTTATGTATATTTTCCCAAATAATTAATGTCTATATGGGCCTATCACGGCCACCCAGCCCATAATACTATCCAGGGGGCCTTCAAAAGCTAGGGTTCGACCTAAGCGAGATATATAAAATGATCATGCAGTCCACAGCTGAACTTCGCCGCAGTAAAAATGGTATTTTCCCCTCGCTGCTGTCTTCCACACACATAACACACATAAAATATGTGTTTATATTTGTATCTATCACATATATGATCGCAGGTTCTAAAATCATAGATTTTGTTGATTTTGCAGGTGAAGTACTCCAGAGAGCCGGATAACGCTACCAAATGTATGTCCTTTTTCTTTCTTTACGAAGATTTATGGTTTATGTAATATTTATTTTACAATTTTTTTTTAAATATATGTCTCACGGTTTTGTTATTTCTATTGCAGCGTGCAAGGCCAGGGGTTCAAATCTCAGAGTTCATTTCAAGGTAATGATTTTACTTTTGTTTCTTTTCCTGTAGTTTATGTACCATTTAGATGTTAAAATATAATGAAAAGTATTTTTTCTGTAATATTTTTGTGGATTTTGTAATGAAATTTTGGTGGTGTTGATTCTGATTTGACTATGCTTTGAGATTGGTTATAGGATTGTGGGTTGGTGTCGATGTAACCTGATGAAAAAAGCAGGGATCTGTTGCCATATGTGAACTGGTCTCTTGAAAACTTCAGGGACAAAAAAATTGCATTGTTATTGGGTGAACCTCTTGAGTTTTCAATGACTGATGGTTCAGTAAATGATGTTACATTGCTATCTCAATCAGTTGGTTTTGAAATTTAAGCTACTGCATCTTGAAACTATGCATTTGGCAGTTTTAGTTTCTTCGTTTTCAGTAACTCCTTGAGTTGTAATGAGGTTCATATTTGATTTCAACTTTATTCTTAAATCAAGGGATGACAAAGATAAAAGCTAACTGCATTTTTCTATACGAACTGAGGATTTTCATTTTGAAATTTAAGATACTGCAATTTTCTCAAGTTTAGGATTGTCTTCTTGTAGATTTCTTTTGGCTTATAAAATACTGTTCTGGTCCTTTGGAATTAACTTGGATCATCTGGAGACTATTCAAATGAATTATCCATTGAGACCAACGCGTTTCTATTTGTTCAGAAGTTACTAAATTTTCAATGATTAAAGGTGGTGTATGTTTTTCGATCCTATGTTGCCTGTGTAACTTGGTAACAAAAGCTGGGTTTCTTTGCTTCTGTGGGATTGTCTTTCATAAACTTCAATGTCATCATTTATGCACCTGGTTAAGAACTTTTAGCTAGATAACTGTATATTACCGAAGTATATTTTACTGTATAATATTGAATTATCTTTTGTTGATTGCTGTAAGATCATCGTGTTTAGAAAATTACTATCTGATGCTTTACCCTCTGAAACATGACGTTTCAATGTCTTATACTGACATAATCCTAGTTTTCTGGTTGTATTTTTTCTCAAATAATGTTTTATGCACTTTCCTAAAATGTTGATATCTGATAAGGTTGATTCTGCATTAAATGTGTTTTTCTCATAACTGTTGCTTGCTTTGCTGATTGCCTTCTTGGTCATTTTTCTTACGGTTCATGATTTGAAATGTCGTACAGTTATTGATTGCCATTATGTTAAATCATGTTATCTTTATAGAACACAAGGGAGACTGCCCATGCCATCAGAAAACTGCCTCTTACCAAGGCTAAGAGGTATTTGGAGGATGTATTGATCCACAAACAAGCCATACCCTTCACTCGTTTCTGTCGAGGTGTTGGGCGAACTGCTCAGGTGAAGAACAGGCATTCTAATGGGCAGGGGCGCTGGCCCGTAAAATCTGCTAATTTCATTCTTGATTTATTGAAGAATGCTGAAAGTAATGCTGAGGTGAAAGGTTTGGATGTGGATGCTCTCTACATTTCTCACATTCAGGTGAACCAGGC